GATGCATCTCCAGGGCTCTGTCAGCAACCAGGATCCACCAGCAGGAAGGTAAAGGTAGAAGGAGGTTGGGGGAGTGTGTGTCCCCAGGACCATCCTTACAATATGGCCCATCAGGCTGTGAATTAATCGACAGGCTAGACTCCAATTCTACACTTTCTATATCAAGTTGATAAGAAAGTATTTAACTATCACAGTATCCTTATCCTTTCTGGCAACCATTTAATTACTAATGTCCCCATTAATAGAAATATCTTCTTGCAGATAGTAATGTTTCTCTTTAGTTTAAAACTATAATAAGATTTGATGTAATGATAAAACTGGAATCATTGAGATAACAGTATTCTTACTAAGAATGGCAACAATTTGATAGTATATCACATTTTTAGTCTTCTACTTTAGAGTAAAATTATAAAATGTCAATAGTTTGATGAAAAACTTTTAAAAATATGAACACCAAACGCTTTAATACCTGAAACATTAAATTTGTGGGAACTGTTAGCTGTTTTTCTCCCTTTTTCTTTCTTGTTCCTCCCCATCTCTCCCTTATTTCTTTTCTCCTGTTCTTTCTCTAATCTCTCTCTCTTTTTTACTCTCTGTTCTTTTTGGAGTTCCTTACTTTCATCTCCTTCTACCATTAAGTGACCTGATTACAGTGGACATTTATTTGCTTGCTTGTCACTTACTTGTCGATTTAGTAAATATAATGTTATGTACTGTTAAATTTTAAAGAACTGTTGGTTTTTCCTTATATATGAGACATTCACATTAAATATCCCTGTCTCCCATTATCCCTATTTCTCAGATATACTTAACCATGGGTCTACAGAAAACAAAAAAAAATCACCACCTGCTGTATTTAATTCACTAATTTTAAAGACTATAAAGTGTTAACATAGCTTCAATGACATTATGTTTGATGATTCAGATTCTTAATGTTGTGGATATTAATTATTACACATTGTTATTATAAAGGAGCCCTAGTGTAACAGTGGTTAAAGCACCTAACCAAAAGGTCGGCAGTTGAAATCCACCCACCTTCTCTAAGAGAAAAGACCTGGTGATCAGCTCTGGTAAAGATTGCAGCCTAGGAAGCCCTGGGAAGCAGTCAGAATGGGCTGCTCTTCTAAATGGACTTGATGGCACACATCAGCATTAGACAGGGCAATTAGAGATTCGGCTGAATTTGGGTAACATAGTTGTCAATCCCACACACAAAAACACAAATCTTTATAGTTACATTTTAAATGAAGATTAGGCTCTCTTGTTTTGTAGATGCTTGGGAAAGAGAAGCAGTTTTTGTAGCTATTCAGTGGTATTTGTTGATTGGCTGTGTGACATAAGGTTGTATAAGATATTAATGTTTGTAATATAATAACATATAATCATCTACTTGAAATACAATTTTCATGATCCATGAAAAAATATGCAAGACTATGCTTTAGTAACTTACGTAGCCTACATTAAACCTTAATTTGTATGTGCATTAAAACATAACCAATAAACTATAGTTCATCATTTTGTCTCATGTTACTAGACTATAACATAAAATGACCATTGATTTGATTTTTATCTTGGAATAATTATGTCTTACTCACATGCGAAATCTCCTCTTTCTAAAAGAAAGAGAATTTGTAAGGCATTCTAAACCATCACTGAGGATGAACCAAGCTGTGTTGACGTTTTCGAGTGGTATGATAGGCCCTTAGAGAAAGAATGACCTCGTCCAGATCACGTAGATTGCAAACCGATTCCTCAGATCTATTTGGCCATTGCTTTCCACAATACCAAAAAATCCACTGCCATTGAGTCAATTCTGACCCTTCCATATGAGTACTGCACAAAAGGCCCTTTTAATTTACATTTTAACCTAGCTCAAAGCCATTGCAAAGTTTTATTCACGCAAAGAGTGAAGATGAAGATACTAACTAACGTTACCAAGCAGAAAGAAGTTTAAGGTTTTAAAAATAATTAAGGATTTTTCTGTGACACCAGTGTTACTTCTTCTTGACAGTTAATGGTCACTTTTAACCAAGACACTGTTTCTTAACTACTAAGTTGTATAGCTGTCCCTTTCATGCAAACCGAGCCGTAGTCAGAAGCTCCCGAGTAGTCTTCAGTAGATGGGCAGTGAGATACACAATTAAGTTTTTAAAAGGGAGAGAATTTAAGAGTAATGCCTTTTATCAAAGTGATTTGGTTGTTCAAGTAAAATGTAAAAATAATTTTTTTTCAAGCAAATGACCTCAAAAGGTCTCTCGTTTTATCTCACCACAGATCTGTCACACAAGCTAAGTCCTAAACCAGTGGGCTGTCTGCCCCCACTTTGTTACCGAATACTGTTAATGCTGATAAAATGGCTTCCCTAAGCAGAAAGAAATCAAACATTTCCTGCCAAGCTCAAGGTGGAAACCTACACCATGATCAGATCAGGATGATAGTGCTTCAGAACTTGGGCGTATTGATAACATTGCATTTCTTTATTATGTTCTTGATGAGCACATTTGTGAGGACAGATGGGGAACTGCAGAGTTGCTTTTCATGCTGAAATGTCATTTTGAAGTTACCTTCTAAGACATGCTGTGGATTTTTAAGTTTTAAGTCTGTATGTGTGAGAGGAGGAAAGGGTGAATTATGACAACTAAGGATAATATATTTTAACAGTTCAGGTAAACACACAATGATCTTTATAAGGGATATTTTTCAAATCAATGAAAATAAATGGACTGTTTGTACAAGTAGTTTTTTAAATGTCTTTAAAATATTTTATCTGCAGCTCTTTAAAAGCTGTATTTATTGTTATTTATTTAATTTTAGCAAACTATGCATTCTCCAAAAGAAAAATACTGATGGTTCCATTTTGTACATTAGATTATTGGAATTGTATGAAATCTAATATTGTCTATAAACTCTCTGAACTAAAGAGACAACAAATTTACTTTTAGTCACTACTTAGCTTATGTTGAAGAATGTGATTTTTAAAATTATAGAATAAACCCAAAACTTACCAGGGAGAATTTTTAAATTTAATTTTTTAATCTCTGGATTTAAGAAATTTAAAATTCCTCCTCAATAGATAATTATGTGTTGAGGAAAATTCACAGAAAAAAACAGGCAAATTTTAAATAGTTGTTCTTTGTTAAGAAGAGCTTATAACACTTCATGTGCTAGCCCATTTATCCTGTAAACTTTAAGAAAAAGAATAATAGATTATATTCACATTTTTTCCAGATGTGTAAAGTGAGAAACATGGAAATTCTGTAACTTGCCTAAGTTCAAAAATTGATTGGTAAAGCTAGAACTGAAACCCAAAGTCTCCCAACAATACTTTCCCCAGTAAATTTCATTAACCTTACTTTACTTGTCTTTAAATTTTTTCAAAAAGTGGCATAATCAACACTACAAGGATGCCTTTGGAACCTGTGAGGGGACTTCCAACAAGTCGGTGGGGGGTAGGGGATCCATTTTCTTTTAATTCCATTTTTCCATGAACTGTGTCGGAAGCCCCCTCGTATTGTACCAGGACCTGGAGATGTGAACATGGGTA